GGCGTGACAGATAGATGCAATGGTCTCCATACTTAGATTTCTTGAATAACAAGCAAGCACACAACACGCACATATTGTTTGAAAAACAAGCACAGATTGTTTGAACAATAAGCAAAGAAAGTAGTGGCGGATCAACAAGCCTCATTTGAACAATAAGCAAAGAAAGCAGTGGCGGATCAACAAGCCTCAGGAACAACAGACTTGAGCCATCAAACAAAAAACTTCAGATCTTCACCGGAGACAAAAAAACAGTCGAGAAAGCTGAGAAAACAAAATGGCACTTGGAAGAGCCAACAAAACTCGGTTTGGATCCGATACCGATTCAGCAGTTCGTAAACCAGAACAAACATGATCGAGTTACAAAAACTCGATCAAAAAAGATTATTCCAGATGGGTGTTTTTAGGTTCACATAGAGGGTCAATGACAGTATCAGCTCAGAGTGGCTCGTGAGATTTCAGATGGATCTAGATCCTAAGATCAAGATCCAAAGGTAAAAGAAAGAGAGAAGCAACCAACTCTCTCTCCATAAATGGAGATCTTGATAGGCATCAACAACTTGCATGATCCAAAACTTTTGCACCGTTAAAAGCTTGCACTAGGAAGGGGAGTTGAAGTGGTCCAAGAACTTGCAAACTTACACCATCTGAAGCAAACTTGTTGCTTTGCACATTAAACAAAACTTGTTGAGACACTTGTTGCTTTGCAAACTTGCACCATCAAAAGTAAATTTGTTGCTTTGCAAATTTATAGAGCAGGTAGAAAACTTGCACCATGAGAAGCAAACAGAGCAAAGTCAGAAGCAAATTTTTTCACGGGATTTGTTGAGCAAAGTTGGGAACCGGAGCTTTCGAACAATCTAATAGTAAGGTACTAAAATTCCCGACCTTAGATCTGAGGTTAGGGTACTAAAATTCCCCAACTTCAGATCTAAGGAACAAAAAACCTCAGGAACAAACGACCTCAGGAATAGAGTAGGCTCTAGCAATCAAATAAAAAATTTCAAATCTCCACTGAGGACAGAAAAGCAGTCAAAACATAAACAAAACGGCACTTGAAAGAGCCAACAGAACTCGGATCTAGACCTTGAAATCAAGATCCAGAGGCAATAATAGACAGAGGGATGACGGTTTTCGAATGGGGCAGATTGACCGTTTTTAGAGACCCATTTTTCAACGATGGATTTAGAGGCATTAGAGAGAATGGTTCTTCTTCTTTTACCACCCTCATCATTCCTTGGAGATTAGAGATAGGAATGGGAACACCAGCAAGGAATGGGAACAAAAGCAACATTTGGGAGAGAGAGAAGATAGGTCAAATTCCAAGTGATATGTGGGACAACATTTGGGAGAGAGAGAAGATAGGTCAAATTCCAAGTGATATATGAGACGTTGTTCCTCGCAAAACATTGACCCATTGACCTATTTAACTTCCTTTCCATGATCTGCACCGCTACTAGAAGTCCAAACAACAACTTTACTCAAACCCCTAGAGTCTTGACTCTTTCTCTAGACCCCATTAATTGTAAAGACCCATATCCCCAGAGAAATCTAGTCAATGTAGTTTGGTAATATTACGTCAAGGTAAAGGTAGGTAGGTGAGAAGCAAATGCGTGAGGCAAGGAAGGAGGTGTGTGCTCCGAGATAGGCCCACGAGCAATGTAGTGTTCAGGCTCCGAACAAGTGACTTCTATTGCCACTCCCACATCTTGACCGCCAAGTCCACCCACTTTGCGGACCGGTTTCCAAATGCTTGGCCCTCTTGCCAAATCCTTAACTCTCTACTTTGCAGATAGGTTTCCAGATGCTTGTCCCTCTTGCTAAATCCTTGACTCTCAAAATTTCTAGAACGAATGAAACTGAGGCCCCGATGCAGACAGGTTTCCTTGACTCTCAAAATTTCTAGAACCAATGAAACCGAGGCCCCGATGCAGACAGGTTTCCTTTGACTCTCAAAATTTCTAGAACGAATGAAACCGAGGCCCCGATGCAGACAGGTTTCCAGATGCTTGGCCCTCTTGCCAAATCCTTAACTCTCAAAATTTCTAGAACAAATGAATCCAATGCCTCTACAGCGAGCTTAGATCTGAAGTGCAAGCTCAGATCTAAAGTTGAGGAGTCTATGACGCTGATACCATATTAGAATCTCAGAATACGGTAGAGAACTTTATGTATATTGAATTTGATTGATAAAGAATATACAAGACCTTATTTAAACCAGTAAATAAATATCGACGGTTATAGATAAGCACCACTTAGTCTTATTAAGAGCTATGTATCTATACAGATGCATATCTGTATGTCAATATCTGTATGTCCATATGATACATATCCATATGTTAACACGTATACGGGCTGTCTTTCTCAAGCTCTTGCATAAAAGAATTTCTAAAATCATGTGCGTTGGAGTTATTTCTTTTTAGCTCATTCTTTGTCTCTTCACCCTATGTAGGAGTAAGAAGTTGATACGAATTCTCTTAATAAACGGCAATCTCTCTCTCTCTCTCTCTGTTTGAATAATTGCATGCTCACAAGTTAACCGATAGACATATGTTCAGAATATTTACATGCTCAGAATGGTTATAGACTACAGGAATTTTAAGTAAAATAGTTCAAAGATTACAGACAGTTTCTTAGAAATATTTTGGTTAAAGATTATAGGAATTTGTTTTGAAGTTAAAGAGATATTATAAGAATTTTATTGGAAGCAATAACGAGTGAGAGAAAAGAAGAGATCGACTTTCTGATTTGGTTATTGTCTCCCTAAACCCATCCTCCTCTATTTAAGGGTTTCTTTTTTTTTATGAACATTTCAGGCTCTAATTCATGCATTGGAGTCTCTCCCTATGTGCTTGGGAATTTTACTTCAATAAATATTTAAAAAATTAAACATGGAGAAAGAAAGTAGAGATACTTATAAATAAGAGCGTCTCTTAATATCTTATATAGGCTGTCTCTCTCAATTTTTTGCAAAAAAAAAGAAAAAAAATCAAAATTAGCTGCATTAGAGTTAACTCTTTTGGTAGTTTCTTCTTATAGAAGTTTTAAGTTGATTTGAGTTCTCTTGGAAAGTGTACCATCTCTCTCTCTCTGTATGTATGAGTTAAATAATTGCAGGCTCACACTTTTAATATAGTTTATAATTGTCTATAGTGTAGTAATATGGTGCAAAGTTGAACACCTTATACCTGTTGGCTTTATCCAATATAGTTATAGGATGGATATGGTGGCAATAAATCATGAGTTTCATGGTAAAAGCAATAATCGTAGCCAGTGTTCAAAACCTAGATCGGTAGGACATACCATGGCTTCTATAATTTATAACTTCGGAAGAGTGATACACACCCTAAATTTTAAAGAATTTATATAAGAATTAGTTAACTATAGGAAAACCAAAATAGAAAGAGAAAGAGAGGGACATGGGGATAAAAAAACATTGTTTCTATGATATTTTGAATAATAGACATCTGAAATCTTAGGAATTCAAATATTTTCGCCTCTCTAATAGATTATCAAAGTGAACAAAAGAACCTTCCTCTCTCAAGAAATAATAGCCCTCTTTGATGAATCTTACTCTCTTTACTTCATCATCAGAGGCATCGACAATGGCTTCATTCTCTGCTCGATCGTGTGTAAAGGTTCTCATTCAACGTATAAACCATCTTCACATGTAAGGCCTTTTAATTCCCAGCGCCTTAGATCTTTGAATTCGTTTTGTTTGAAATTATAGTTTTTCTTAACTCTCAGTGCCTTCGATCTTTGAATTCTTTTTGTTTGAAATTCTAGTTTCTTTCATCATTCTCTAATCAATGGTTTGGTTGGAAAAACTGTGCACATTTGATGTACACGAAAGTAAGAAAGTGTTGCAAAAGTTGGTTTCTGTATCAATTTGCTAGCTTAAATTTGAGGTCAATGAAATATCATATTAGTGATTTTGTGTAATAATATTTTTTTGTAACATTATAATTACACTAATATATAGTGTAAATTTATAAGTGCAAAGGGCATATGAACTAGGCAAACTTTTTACGTGCGACTCTTGATATGGAATAACATGCATGTAATATGCCAAGACTTTGGAATTTCGTATTTGTATCATGAATTCTTTTTCCTGTGTTATAAAAGCCTTTCAAGCATCTATCTATGTAACTGTCAATGGAGAAAAAGTTTGTTTACCGAAATAGAAAGCTAGATGATTTGTAAAACAAAATATATTAGAACATTGGAGGAGACTAAAAAGGTATGTTAATTTTATTTTTTGTTATTGTATTGTTTATCTCTTATAACTTTTTGTATTTATCTTGTGTTATTTTTATTTTGATTATATTATTATAATTGAATATAATTCTATTTTTTTTCTTCAGTATTTCATTTTTATTATATTATATTATTTGTCATTGAATGTTATTCTATTTCTTTTCCTAGATGCATAAACAAATTTAAAGTTAGCTAATATTTATGTCTAAACAAAAATAAATAATTTAATTTTTTTCAAAATTGCTTTACACTGTCGTATTTTATAGCTTTGAAAAATAATGTTTTAATAAAAAAATTATAAATTTAATGAGAGAAAAATTTTCTAAAAAAATTATTTAGAATCTCATCTATTTTCTTGATCACATTGTGTTCAACCCATATTTATTTGTTATTCTTTTATTTTAAATTAAAATTAAATTATTATAAATCATTTTTATGCTTAATACATTTAAGATTTGTACGTCTAGTATTCTCAAAATCCAAAGATTTTTTACGTCTAATATTCTCAAAATCCAAAGAAAGATGTATATTCAAAAGCCAGTATTCTCAAAATCCAAAGAAAAATGCATATTAAAAAAAAAAAAAACCAAGAATAGCTGCATAATACGTAAGACAAAGAAAACAAATATTCGAATCAAACTTAAAAAGAACCAAATATTCGAATCAAACTCTAAAAAACCAGCCCGTCACTCTCTTTCTAAAGCCCATCCAATTTCACAACAAAATGTTCTCTTTGTAAAGAATTCCTAGTCTACCTTCATTTTTCTATTCTAATAATATAACCCGTCCTCATCACCTTTTAAAAATTCTCATCTCTCTCTTTCTTCAATGTTATAAACTTCAAAACCATTAAATAAATAAAATAGATGCTCCAATCAAACCATAGAAATTCAACCGGCTCTCTCTCTCTTCAATCTTAAATTACAGCCCGTGCCTCCCTTTTAAACTGAAAATCAACCCCTCTCTCTCCTTTTCTTCTCTCTTTAAGCGCTGTTATGTCTCTATGTTCTTGTTGCATTTCCATTTCCAACCAACCGTCCTCACAGCACAACCCCATTCTCTCTCCATCTGTTCCCCACGTCTCCTTTGATCTAGACTTATCACATTCCATTAACCTCCCTCCTCCTAATTCTGTCTTTTTCACTCGAATAACCTCAGATTGCTCCATCTCTCTCTCACTATCACTGTAAAACTCCATTGCTACTTCTCTTTCTCATCAACCGGTGTAAAACTCCTTTGCTATCTCTCTTTCTCATCAACTGGTGAGTCAATCAAGAATCAAGAAAAGGACTACCATTAAAGGAGATTAAATTGTGACCAATGTCATATTGTTTTTAAATTGTGAACAATGCTATATTGTTTCTAAATGGTAAACAATGCTATATTTTTTCATGTTTGACAGTGATTTTTCTTGCAAGAAGCAGAAATGGTGAAGACACTTTTGTTATACGAAGTAGAAATAGTGAAGACAGTGATGTGATGACAACAAACTCTCAAGAAAGGAAGACAGTGATGTGATGACAACAAACTCTCCAGAGAGGAAATGAAGACTGATGTAACGTGACATGATGATGATGTAATGTGATGTGATGAAGATAGTCTGCTCATACATAAGAGATAGTCTGCTCATACATAAAAGTCTGCTCATGCATAAGTAGTCTCACAAACATGAATTTGATTGAGAGATTTTTAACGTTTTTGAGAGTAAATTCACAGTAGCTATTTTTAGCAGCAATTTTGAGAGGTAAACTCACAGTAGCTACTTTTAACTACTTTATTACTATGTTCTATCCAAATGTGAAAAAAATATTTATTTCCGCTTTAGTATATCAGATATCAAACACATTCAATAAAAAAAAATTAAAAAAAATTTAAACACATATCTACTAACTTAAAAATTTATTACAAACACATTCAATAAAAGAAAATTAAAAAAAATTATGTTGTATTGCATTTCTACAATAAACCGTCCAAAAGGTATAAAGCCTTATAGAGCATCCATATGCCAAAAGGTGGTGCATCTAAAAACGTGTAACTAACAGTACAAATATTTTCTTAATACAATTACTATTTTTAGTTTTAAATTTATTTATTTTTTTCACAGTCATGATCTTCAGGTTAAAGATTACATATTCTCTAAAAATTAGGATCAAATTATATTTAAAACCTATATTTTGCCGCATCAAAACCGTGTCCTTCAATCAAACCATAAAACTAAAATATCCTCCAACATTATAGGACATTGTTCTTTTACATCCAAATTTGTTCGATATCAAGCATCAAATACGGGAGAAATTTAGTTACAGTTTTATGATAAAAAGTCCTATAATTCAGCTTCATAAATAATATCCTTACTGCTATAATTAAAGTTGGGAAAATGCCCTCTACCCATTTCCGGAATTTCCATCCATACCCCTTGAGTTCATCAAAATCGGTGGCACCCCCTGAGTTTAAAAATTTGGGACCATTAGCCCCGATTATATTTTCCTTCGTTCTTTCTGCTAAAAAAATTTTTTTTTTTTTTTTTTTTTACAAAATATCAAATCCATACATTAATTATCTATATATATATTTTGTGACTTGATATGCAAATTTGTATTGACAATAATAATAATTTAATAATAACAACAACAACAATACATTAAATGTTAAATAATTCATTTCTTATAGGTATTTTGATAGTTTTTAATAAATAAATAATAATATTTGTTGGCTGATTTTTGCTTGTGAGAGGACTAAAAAGATGGCGGATTTAATTTCCCACTTTTCTTTCTGCATTTTAGAGAGAGAGAGAATAATTTATTGATAATTAAAAGATGAAACAGTAAAAAATTTAAATAACAATTGGGGAATATTTATCAGCTCTTGGCATTCAATTTCTCCAAGAGAAGCTTATTCAAAAGAACAGGGTTTGCTTTCCCTTTTGAAACCTTCATTACCTGATAACAACCAGAGAGTTGGTATAAGAATCTACAAATTATCATTTTGTCTTCCTATATTAAAGAATTAAACAAAAATTTATACATAACGTAACTACTCATTCACAAAGCAGAAATCTCTTAGTTTCAATGCATCAGAAACTATTAAGCTGTAAGTAAAACTGATAGACCCAAAACACGTGGTGAGTTTCCATACCTGGCCTGCAAAGAATCCCTGCAACTTTGTTTTCCCTCCACGGTATTGTTCAAGCTGCTTAGGATTCTCCGCTAGAGCTTTATCTATCATGGCTTCAATCACGTTAGGGTCCATAATCTGTTGTTAAATTATAATAAAATGTGATTAGAAGTCACCAAATTAAGAAAGAAACTAAATTACTAAAGATCAATGCAATGAAAACCTGGTTTGTGTCCTCCTCTCTCTCTCTCTCTCTCTCTCTCTCTCTCTCTCGACGACGGCGGTACGGTACTACCGTACGTACTAAGTAACGTAAACTAACCAACCTACGTCCTACCGAGTAGTATTACGACTACGTACGACTACG